CCTTGGATGAATGGCCCCTCTTACAGCTTCTTTTTTTTCATTTATAAGATGGGGTCGTGCCACATGACTCACTGAATTGCTGGGAGAATTGCATGCCTGATGGAATGAATAGTCAAGGGTAGATGGTGTGTTATATTAAACGACATTCAATCTTCATAGGAATCCTTGAGACTCATTATTTGGCATCCCTATTTTATCAAATAGGAAACACGTCCATAGAAGCTGAAGTGTTTGCCCAAAGTCACTCGGCAAAGAGTCTTCTCCTTCCAAAGCTCATACCATACCACAGTTGTCTCTCGCACATTCTCCTCCCAAATCAATGGGTTCAGACAAAGTCGCAATGTGGGTTTCAGGCATAATGACCACTACACACAAGCCTAGCCTCGGCCATTAGTACATAAGTCTGTTATAAGCTGAGAAGATGATCCAATCCCCTGCAATTTCAAGGCTTCCTTTAGATTCCTCTAGATAATGAAGGCTACAGAAATGTATAATGTAGAGGGAGCCTGAAAACAAAGCCATCCCTAGAGAACACAGCAACTGGAGTGATTCCCTCTGGCCTGCACTCTATAAGGGTCCAAACTCCTGGCGGGGATTCAGGCAACCTGAAGGAGAAAGACAAAAATAGTTCATGCCAGCTGGTACCAGAAACAGACCCAAGACTCACAGATAGATAGATAGATAAATGATAGATAAATGATAGATAAATAGATATGATAGAGATGATAGATAGATAGGTAGGTGATAGATATGACAGATACATAGATGATAGATATGATAGATACATAGATAATTCATAATACATAGATAGATATAAATGTTAGATGATAGATAAATAGATATGATAGGTGGATAGATGATAGATGATAGATAGATATAGATGATAGGTAGATGGATAGAGATAATAGATGAATAGATGATATAGATATAGATGACAGATGGTAGACAGATAGATGATAATAGATATGACAGATGATAGAGATGATTGATAGATAGATAGATAGATAGATAGAGGATAAATAGGTAGATAGACAGACAGACAGACAGACATATTTGGCCCTGAGGCCCAGCCTTCCTGGCATATACTAGGACTTCTTTTCTCTTCCAGGCCGCCCTTCCTTTTCATCATCAATCAGTCCCACAGGACACAAGCGGTGTCAGAAATCTGGAGTGACCTGGACGCCATAAGCACTCCAACATCAAAATCCTCGGCATCCTGACATTCTCTAGACCAGCACCCACTGAATTCCTGGCCCAGAAAGCAGAACAGAGAACTGACTTCTATGCCCCTGGGATGCTAACCCCACGGAGAGTCCGGAGTTGAACACATGAGCAGTCTTAACTGAATAAAATGGCACCGGCATTTCTTCCTATTTTTCTTCCAAACAGTTACAAGTCTGCCGAAATGATATTGCCCTTGCCCGTGCACCGGATGGAACAGGCAGTGGTTCACATTTACGGAATGCTTACACTGTGCCAGGTGCCGGACAGTCACTGGAATCTGTCCCTCGTGCTCAGGTCTTAGGGTTCCGAGCATCTGTCCTGCCCTTGCACAGACTGGGGCTTGATGGAACTTAACATTTGGGTGGGTGCTCAGAGAGCATCCTGCCTTTTCTACAGAAAGGAAATCAGGGCCCTGGGAGGGGATGGAAGCCAAAGGTCCCGGCTGGGTCCACTTTGCTCTACCCCACCTCGGCCTTTTACAACATCAAGGACTGTGCCCACCTGTCTTTTGGATCACGAGAGTGTGTGGGGAGGCACACTGACACTCGAAAGGGATCTCTAAGTGGGGAAGGTGGTGTCTCTGCCAGATGCAGCTAAAAATAGGAGCTGGCCCAAGAGCAGCCTCGGCTAGTGAGTATGTATTGATACCAGGTGTTCCTCAGTGTGCTCACCCGATACCCTCCTGTGCTACAGGAGGGACAGCCGCCCCGGCCACCCCAGGGGCAGAGGTGGGCTCATCGGACAGCTGTATACACGCTAAGGGCAACCCAGCTGCTTCTGAAGCTGGAGGTGGCAGATTCTATTTCCGCAGAATGTGGGGGCCAGAGGGGGTCATCAGATGGAATAGGAAGGCTCTTCTCTTGGCCCTCCCCTAGTGGCTCACTGTGCCGCCAGAAACCTTCCCATCTTGTAGGAATTTAGAAGTCCTAAGGAGAGCTGGAACTCCTCTCGTTCACCTCTCTCAATATATAGATGAGAAAAGGGGTGATGGGCATGGAGGAGGGCACTTGTGGGGATGAGCACTGGGTGTTATATGGAAACTGACTTGACAATAAACTATTTAAAAACATAGATAGATAGATAGATAGATAGATAGATAGATAGATAGATGAGAAAACATAAAGCCCAGAGACATTAAGCAACTCTGCCAAGGGCAGACAGCACTAGTCCAGAACTTCCCAAAGCCGGATCCCTGAAGTAAGAGTCTCGTAGATGTTCCTTGAAGATCAATTGTTTTAAAGGTTCGGAGATCAGGTAGTTGGGAACGGCTACATTCTCTATTCCTTGTCTCATCCACTCATTCTCTATTTAACAAATATTTACTCAGTCTCAAGATGAGGAACACATTCTAGGGACCTGGTCTAACCCGGCAGAGCTGAAACCAGCCTACGGGTATGCAGACTTCAGGACCACAAAATGCACAGCTACCCCAGGCCGATGGACTGTGAGGCTTTGTGAAAATGGCAATGCCCTGGGGAGAGAGAGCAGGCTGAGGTCCCTAATAACTTTTAATGCACTTATTTGTCCGAGACTTTTCCAAGTCAGAGCACTTGCAATCATATGGCCGAAAGACTAAGCCTGAGCCCAAGGCTTTGGTCTTGAAAAAGTGTATCCACATCAGGAGGCCAGAAGTTAAATGCAGAAACCTGGACACACTGGCTCTTCTTAAAAAGAAAGAGTGAGAAAGAAGGAGAGAGGCATAAAAGGTGGAAAGTCAGAAAACTCACTCCACAAGCTTTGGCAAACCAGTCAGCGATCATCTCTCATCAAAAGGAAACAGATAGGGGCGCCTGGGGGGCTCAGGGTTTAAGCTACCAGCTCTGGGTTTCAGCTCAGGTCACCATCTCGTGGTTCGTGAGTTGGAGCCCTGTCTGGGGCTCTATGCTGACAGTGTGGAGCCTGCTTGGGATTCTCGCTCTCCCTGGCTCTCTGCCCCTCCCCCACTCATGCTCTCTCCACCCCTAAAAATAAATGAATAAACTTAAAAAAAAAAAAAAAAGTAAACAGACACCAAACCCAGTGCACTGGGAAGGAATGTGGCACCCCTACCACACCCCCTCCAAACCACACCCTCGACTTGAACTGGCCCCCAACGGAAGCTATCGCTCTGGAAATTAATTCTTCCCCATAGCCTTCACAGGTGGAAGTCCTCTCCCAGGCAATCATGTAAAGTCTAGCAAGGAACTTTTTTTTTTTAATTATAAGGAAAGGATGGTTTCACCATCAATAAAATCCTGCTTCAATTAGTACAACTATGCTTCGGGTCATTATTTTAAGTGTTTGAAATTCTACTTAAATAAGGTCACTTTCAATTTGGTAAACACTCCTAAGTCATCATCTTAATTCACGGCCAGTCACCCTAGGAATGCTGAGTAAGTAAACATAATCAAGCATTAGCTAACCAGCCACAAATCCACTTGAGTTTATTAATTTCTCTCTTGGCAGAGAAACACGAAAGGGGCCCAAACCATCAGAGACATTCACGCATCATTCATTCAGTAAATATTTATTACATACCAGGTGCCAGGCACGATGCTAAGCTAAATATAGGTGGCATTGGTTTCTTGTTTGTTGGTTTGGTTTTGGGTATTTTTTCCTTCCTTAAATAGTTTATTGTCAAGTTGGTTTACATATAACACCCAGGGCTCATCCCCACAAGTAAAGAGGGGACTTTCCACCCATGGTTCCACTGAAGCTCTAACCCAGGACCTTCTGCGTGTAAAGCAGATGTGATAACCACTACACTATGGAACCTTGGCGGTGGCATTGTTTTATTAATATTCACCGCTAGGTTATATACGAAATCCTATTTTCCCCCAAAAGATCAATTTTCATTCCTGACGTGCTTTTTCTTCATTTCTGCCCAATGTGCCTTCCTCCATGGAGCAGACGATGTGTCCTGACTGGTCAGCTTCCAGACTCGATCTTTTCCTCCAAAAGACCCCCTTTTCCATCATTCCTCAAATAGTTAATGAATATAAACTCCCACAAGAAGCGCTAGAGAGGCACTGGCTATTTTAGAAGTCCCAGGAGAATGGTAATGGTAAGAAGTAGTTCATATCCTTGCACTCAGATATTTTCTTATACATTTGAGTTTTGTGTTAAGGGAAGTAGCTTGTATTTGCTCTAAAGGTTTTTTAAAATACTAGCACACATATATTCCAAAATACATTCCACACATATATTGCAGAAAGGGTTGTACGCGCACTAGGAATGAAGTCTTAAGGGCACCACCTTATCAGAGGAATTCCCTTTCCTCATTCAAAGGAGGCTCCCTCTTTCCCATCCTACCAAAAACTGGCACCCGCCCGAATCCGCTCCCCAAGGGAAAGACCCATTCTGAGAACTGACCTTAAACAAGTCACTTTGCTCATCAGTAAAGAAGGGGGCTGGGCTGGAGACTGCCAAGGTCCCTCTTAGCCTGGACCCCTAGCCTAATCCTCTGCCACCCCTCCCTGGGGAGCTGGTACACACATACACACGCACACACACCACACACACCGTGAACCCATGTGCAGTCCCCCGCCCCCACGCTTCAGGGGCCTGATACCCAGCCCCCACCCCCGGGACAGCCAGCTTACCCGAGACACACAAAACACCCCCACACCACCCAGAAGGAGAGGCAGGACTCTCCCTCCCTCAGCCAGGCAGTCTCCTGAGGCTGCTGACATCACAAAGGTGTCAACTGGCAACCTCATTGTCATGTGGCTCTCCCCTGGCTCCCCTTCACTTGCAAACGCAGGGAAAGGGTGAGACCTTTCAAAGCCGCCAAGCGGGCAAGCCTCCAGCAGCAGCCCGGGAGTGAGCAAGCTGCAGAGCCACCCAGCCGGGCGGCGGGGCATTGGGCCTCGCGTTTCAACTTCTGTTCTGTTCTCCTGTAATGGAAAATTGCTTTGTACAAAGCTAGAGTGTTACAGTTCTTTCCAGCGCCCCTCCCCCCCTCCACCCCGCCCCTCAGCAGCCTTCTGACCAGAGGGACAGCGCCCGCAGCAAGGTGGAAGGAGGGTAGTTGCGGTTTCTTACTATGTCCCTTGCTTCAGGCCCTGGGCCCGGGTGGTTACTCTTTTCCTTTGGAATGGGACTGGTATCGGGGTCTAAGTGTCCAGATAATTGTCAGTGTCAAGACCAGGAAGTGATCTGCACAGGGATCCAGTTAACCGAGTACCCCCCAGACATACCCCTGAACACCCGGAGGCTGTACCTGAATGATAACGGCATCACTTTTTTGCCAGCGATGACTCTGGGACTCCTCAGTGACCTTGTTTACTTGGACTGTCGGCGTAACCTGATTCGCGAGGTGATGGATTATACCTTCATCGGGGTCTTCAAACTCATCTACCTTGATCTCAGCTTCAACAACCTAACCTTGATCTCCCCATACAGTTTCTCCGTGCTCAGCAACCTGGTGCAGCTGAACCTCTCCAATAACCCTCACCTGTTATCTCTTAACAAGTACACCTTTGCCAACACCAGCTCTCTGAGGCACTTGGACCTCAGAAACACCGGCTTGCAGACCTTGGACCATGCCGCCTTCTATAGCCTCATAACACTACAGACCCTGTATCTGAGTGGGAACCCGTGGGTGTGCAACTGCTCGTTCCTGGACTTCACCATCTACTTAATAGTGTCCCATCTGAACCATCCAGGTGAGGGTTTGGTTGGGTGTGGGGGCGAGGACGTGACACAGTAGGAGGAATTGGTTGCAGAAAAGGTAAACTCAAGAGATGGTCGGGATGGGACAGTGAGTCTGGGTTAAGCTGATTGAAAACATGCTTGTTGCCCCACAGACTCTATCTATCCTGGGGTTGCCTGGAGAGGCAGCGGGGTCAGGAGAAAAAGTTCTAGAGTGGGAACCCAAAGAGCTGAGTTTTCTGGTCCTAAGCTCAGACTTACTAGTTGGCTGCCCTTGGGAAAGACAACTTCTCTGAGCCTCAGTTTCCTTATCCATCAAGTGGGGACAATGATATTGCCTAATGGAGCTGTCCTGTCAACCTAAAATGGTGTGTGTGGAAATGACTGACTTCCATAACTGCATGGTAACAAAGTAATACAGGGGCGCTGTATTCCATTGGTGGCCTATTTTAATCTGTTTGATTCAGTGACTGAATTTTCCCAGGATCTGAAAGTAAATTCAGACATGCAGAGGCAGTAGAAAATCCAAGAGTATGAAGCACAGAAGAGAAAGTGTAATAGGGAGAGGGGGAGGGTCCAGGAGCTCCCCAGGCAATGAGAGAGGGGGTGGAGAGAAGGCAGAGGAGAAGGCTTTTGATGGCCCCTTTTTCTTCAAGATGCTAACCCTCTAAGGTAGGAGAGAGTGGCATGAATCCCTGAAGAAGGGGTCACTGGTGCCCACTGTGTCCAGCAGGGAGAATCCACTCTCCCAGGCAGATTCTGAAGTCTTACCTGGCAGATTTCCAAGCCAGATGCTACAACTCTCTCCACTGTCGCCAGCCCTCTGCCATGGTCCCTGGGGCCCCCCAGTGTCTAATCCCCTCTTCTATTCAGTGACTTTACTGTCCCATCCTCATCCTCCAATCATCCCACTCCAACACCACCTGCACTCAGGAAGTCAGAACTTCAGGTAACTGTGAACTGACTCCTCACAGAAAGCCAGGGGCCACTGAGGTGATCTGGCAAGATTGGACTTTGGATTCAAACCCTATCAAAACCATGTCTTCTCTCCCTCCCCTGAGTGTTCTTGAAAAGACTTTCAGGCACCTGCACCTGCTGACTCTTCTGGCCCAGGTGGCAATATTCCAGAAAGATCCCTAGCCAAAATGTTAAGTTTCAAGGGGATTTGGGGGGAGAGGGAGCTGAGTGGTGGCAGCGCTCATGGCCTCCCTTCCAATGGGAGGGTCTTAACATGTCTTCCGGGCAAGGCCTGGCTCTGGTGAGGCAAGTGAGCAAAACTGAGGGAGGCCCAAAGAGTGGGCGGCTCCTCACATTTTGTGCCCTAGGCACCTGGCGATGCTGAGAGGTACTTTAATCCGTGTTAGAATAAATTGAAAGGAAAGAACTCCATCAGACCATCTTCTTAAGATCACCAATCATAAAGGATAGAGGAGCAGTTATCTTGGGTACGTTGCCTTATTTCTCTATGAGAATGTCTTCTACTTTTCTCAGTGACTGGTGCTGTGGTGCTTTCTAGAAAGCTCTCTGGCAAAGGGCCATGATTGATTATTCTCGTGCATCGAATGTGGCTTTTACATGGGATTCTCCTGTCAAGGTTCATGTAACCAGCCTGTGAAGAAGCTTCATCTTCTTTTGCCCCTCCCCACCATATGTGTATATTTTCCCTGAGCAGAGCCCACCACGTGGCCAGGAGAACCTCAACCCTAGCTGAAAAGGGAGATGTAGCTTGGCGTCCTCCCCAGCCCCTAAGCCTCCTATTTCACCTGCCCTCGAATCTCCCTTAATCAAAATTCTGCGTATGGAGTTGTCTCTTCTCAGAATTTTCAGGCTGACTACATTGGACCCCTTGACTCACTTCATTCTGGGGTTGAATAGGACTGTAGACCGGATCTGTTTCACTGCATGTTTTCAAAACCATCAGAAGCGGGTAGCTATCCTGTCAAGCTCATAAGCTCTTCATGAACAAAGAGTCTGTCTTTTGTGAGCTCCCCCCCACCTCCACAACAACTACTAATCTGCACATCTCCCTCTGCTGTTTTTGGTGGCCTAGAGAAACCCACCCAGGCCACTTCATGCAGAACTGTGGGCTCGTGGCCCTGGCTAACAATTCTTATCTCTTAAAAACACTAAGGCCAGCCATAGAGGAATTGATCTTTGTAGAGATGTTTGAAGCTGCTAGAGTTTTTCACACATGCTGTCTCATTTTCTTTACTTTGAGTGTCATACCGACCCTTAAATTTTGTGCCCTAGGCCAATGGAAGAGGCTAGGATTGATCATTTTAATCCTATCATATGGATAAGAAAATAGACTGGCCCCAAATCACACAGCTAGTAAATGGCCCCCCAAAAATGATTTGAACCTCCTGAGTCAGGTCATTTTTCATGAGACCACTATATCTTAAATTCCCTAATTATATGATAACTAAGGTCCTATAAGTCAGTTTAATTGTAAATATAAGTCATGGTATATGCATGCGGCCACAGCACCTAAATTACAGCTTTATTTTCTATCTGACTACACATGAATTCACCCAAGATTATTTCCACTGGATGGGGAGTTCTAACCATCATAAACTCATCATATGCCTATGTTCACCTCACAAATCCAAGTTCATCACAACGCACCCAAATTCCGAAAGAAGGAGCCTAACCTTGCTCACCTTTGCATCTCAGTCTGGTTCTCTCTTCCCACACATACACATGCATACATCCCGTGACAAACACATAAACCCATGTGCAAATACACACACATATACCCACATACATACAAGAATCACGATGTGCCCACATGCACACACCATAAAAACATAAATACACATCTACTCACATACACAATCACCCACATACTTCATATATACAACACACATACATACACCAATGTGCAGATCCACAGCCACACTTGAAGAGGCACACACATTCACATGAAACTGAACACACACACAGTAGAATTCATGAGATGCTTTTCTTGGCCTTTAGCCAGACCTCAACATAATGGAAGATACTTATTTCATGTGACTCTCAAATGATTCATGTCTCAAGTAGAAATATCTTCGTTATTGAGAAATACTCATGATGAATGCTCAAGCTTAGCACTACCTATTATACCACACTTGATATCAAAAGGTGATCTTTGGCATGTTCTAAAATGGAGTGTACTCCTCTCTCCCCATGTGCCCACAGTGCAGGATATAAGAAGATTCTCTCTGAAGTGATGAGCTTAGTAACTTGGTTATTTGTAGAAAAGAATCCAAACTGAAGATGGGTTTCATTTTAGACCCAGGAAGATACTGAATGTTAGTACTGGGTGATTTTACCTGTGGTGCAGAATTAAGGTCAGGATGACAGAAGAATGGCAAAGTATAGAACCCTTAAAAAAGCAAGGCAGTGAAGAAAGGAACTTCCATGCTTCCACCACTCAGTTCATCCATTCACCCATTTAAATCTTTATTGAGTCCTATAGGTGCCAAACAAGAGCTCATGGGAGGGAACCAGCCAAGAAGCCTGGAGCATCTACACCATATATGTCCCATGGCCCAGTCAGGGTCAGCAGAACTAACCGAACTGGACAGAGCAGGACAAAAGAGACCGCCATGTGCCTACGAGGCAGAGCAGGCACTTGGGACAGCCTCGGCTGCAGATGGGGAAGGACAGCCACCATGCAGGCAGGGGAGCCCGGTGTTAAAGAGCTCAAGCTGGAGTGAAACAGACCTGGATTATAACCTTAGCTTTGCCACTTGCTATTTATAGGATATCAGAGAAGTTACTTAACCTCTCTGAACTTCAACTTCATCTTTCAGACAGGTATAATAATAGAACGAACCTATGTAGGCTGTGGAGATGAGAACACTTACAAACTGCCATTAGCAGTAAGTCTTGCACACCAAAAGCATTCAATAAGTGAATGGTTGGCAGACGTGGGAAAGATACAGGGTACTTAAGAGAGTACAGACATCAGTCAGGTGACCCCAGGATAAGCAGTGGGCTTCAGGAAGGCTGATCACACATGGAATAAGAAGGCTGAGCACTCCTGTCCAGGAGACAGGACTGTAGGGATGTATGTGGGGATATATATAGGATGTAGAAGGTCCCAGGACTCTGATCCCTGGGAAAATGGGACAGGGGGAATCTTAGAGGGAGTTGGGTATTAGACAAGTTATGAACACAGGAGTTCACACCCTGGGGGACAAAACCAGAAGCCCAAATCAAGGCTTGGTCTCAGCCGGGACCATAAGTCTCAGTGCTGAACCAGTAGTAGCCAAGTGGTTCTTTCTAAGTCACCTGAGTCTGGAACTGAACTTCTACCTAAAGACAAGCACCCACTTCTGGAAACAGGTGTGGACATGCAGACAGCCTGCAAGGGATGAGGGCAAGGAGGTCCAACTGTGGGGCAGACATGGCCTTGAAAGCAAGAAGACACCTACATGGTGTGATTTTGTTATCTGAAGAGGACAAAGCAATACCTCGGCTCCCATCCAGTGCCTACCACTGAGCTAAAATGAACCATTAGAGATTTACCCTTTGGGATCTCAAAAAGTACCCCAATCTTGAAGAGGACCCTGCAAAAATATATGAACTCCAGAGCTCAATAATACTGGTGCCCCAAGCCTTTATCAGCTCTTGGAGGCAGAATCGAATTCTTGAGAAATACAACTAGCTAAGATTAGTTCTGCAGCAGTGGGGAACCTTGAAGGAAGCCAAGGTCCAGCAAAGAAATGGAGAGATCTTAAAACAAAAATTATGAAGACCGTAATATGTCCTTCCCTATGGTGCATCTTGGCTAAATTCACCTGCCACAAAGGAGATGTAGGGAAAGTTAAATGTTTTATCCATCTATTTCATTATCAATAAAAATTTTCCCATATTGGCAAGAGGTTCAATTCCATTTTCAAAAGGTTTTCGTCAAAAGAAGCCCTCTAATGATATACTCAGCAGATGCACTAAAGGCTATTAAGTCCTCAAAGAGTTCACATACTCACTTTGCGAACATGAAAGTCACGGTAGAAATGGAGGTGGG